CAAAAAGGTCATTATTTATTAGGGTGAAAAATCAAAAACAACCTACCATCCATCATCAGAGAATGGTTTATATAGCTCATTTTCTTAGACTGGAATTCTCTATGGCTGTCAAAAAGAAGGCAGCTCTTTATGAGTTGATATAAAAAAATGTCATAATGGCATAAATAATTAGAAGACACATATAAGGAAGTTTGTTGTAGTAATGTAAGTAACCATTAGTAGGGGACTGGTTAGCTATGCTATGTCCATTTCTAAAATACCACATATAGTACAAAATAATGAATGAGAACTTTGTGTTTTAGCATGGAAAAATACTCTTGAGAAATACAGAGTAAAAGCTGAGCACAGCTGTAATCCCAGCAACTCAGGAGGCTGAGGCAGGAGGATCCCAAATTTGAGCCTCAGCAGCTCAGCGAGATCCTATCTCAAAATAAAAAATAGAAGGACTGTGGATGTAGTTCAGTGGTAAAGTGACCCAGAGCTCAATCCCCAGTAGCAACAACAACAAAAAAGAAAATACAGAGTAGAAAAAAAATTGGAAATTATATACATTACTTTTATTCTTGTAGATACATATGTAGGACTGGTCCAGCAAAACTTAAGCCTTTTTCTTTGTTTTTATTTAAAAAAATTTAACTGACATAAAATTTGTACACATTTATGGGGTACCATGTGATATTTTTTTAAGAGAGAGAGAGAGAATTTTTAATATTTATTTTTTTCAGTTTTTTGGCAGACACAACATCTTTGTTTGTATGTGGTGCTGAGGATGGAACCCAGGCTGCATGCATGATAGGCGAGCGCGCTACCGCTTGAGCCACATCCCCAGCCCCCATGTGATATTTTGATACATATACATGGTGTGATGCTTAAATCAGGGTAAACATAACCATCTCCTCAGATGTTTGTTTGTTTGTTTGTTTGTTTTTGCAGTACCTGGGATTGAGCCTAGGGGTGTTCTACCACTGAGCAATATCCAGACCTTTAAAATATATATATATTTTTATGTGGTGCTGAGAATCAAACCCAGTGCCTCACAAACTAGGTAAGCACTCTACCACTGAGCCATGACCAGCCCTCCAGATCGATTTATTTTATTGTGAGACAAGGTCCTTGCTAAGTTGCCCATGATGGCCTTGAATTTGTGATCCTTCTGCCTCAGCCTCCCAAATCTCTGGGATTACAGGTGTGCCACCATGCCCAGATTATCATTTTTTATAGCAAAAACATTAAAAAATTATTTCCTTCTAGCTTTTGGAAATATATAGAATATTATTGTCATCTCTAGTCACCCGATTGTGAATAGCACATCAGAACTCCCTGCTCCTCTCTAACTATAACTTAGTATGCATTGACCTTTTTAAAGAAATGGTTTGATGTTTTCAAAATAATGTTTAAGAGAATGGCATTTTCAAAAGCTTTTATGTACATTTTATGGAATCATGTCTTTGTTTTGGGGTTTTTTTTTCTTTGTTCCATGCTGGGGATTGAACTCAGGACCTTGTACATGCTAGGTAAGCACTCTACTACTGAGCCACATCTCCAGCCCTGGAATTATGCTTTAAATATTGCTTTACAACTTTTGTCTTTACCTAACCACATATTTTATATATATATATATATATATATATATATATATATATATATATATGATTTTTTTTTTGGTGATGCTGGGATTGAACCCAGAACCTTGTGCATGAGCTATATCCCCAGCCCCCAACCTAACCATATATTATTAAGTCAGTGAATATGAATCTACTTTTTTTTTTGGCAATACTGGAGGTTGAACCCAGAGCCTCATGCATGCTATGTAGGCACTTTATCATTGAACAATATTCCCAGTTCTGAATCTACTTTTTAAAAACACTGTTGCAATGTATTCCAGAGTATAGATGGTGTCCCAGTGGAGCATTGAGCTAAAGTGGTTTTGTTCTTGTACTAAGAATACATACATACCTATTTCCCTTGAGAGACTCCTTTGAGGAGTAAAGTGGAGACGGGGCTGAGAGGAATATAAAGCTTATAATGTTTGAAACAATTTTTATAAAGATCATTTATTATTCTTTAGAAACAAAAATAAGGGGATTTCTAAAATACCAAATAACACGCCACTTTACTTTTTAAACTAGAATTTTAAAACACTACCTAGATGTGATACACACAGTATATTTTTAACACTTGAGTCCCTCTAGGCTGGGTGTGGTGGCGCATGCCTATAATCCCAGTGGCTCAGGAGGATGGCAAGTTCAAAGCCAGCCTCAGCAGTGGTGAGGTGCTGAACAACTTAGGGAGATCTCGTCATTAAATAAAATACAAAATGGGGATGGGGATATGGCTCAATGGTTAAGTGCCCCTGAGTTCAATTCCCAGGACAAAAAAAAAAAAAAAAAAAAAAAAAAAATTCCTCAGGGTTAACTGGCCTAACTGGCTTTTCTTCAGTCTCTGGAATGAAACTTGTCCCCAGTCCCTGAGTACATATTTGTCCAGCTCATAAACAAGTTGAAGAAATGAGGGGATTCTATCTTAACCTGCTTTTAAAGTCAGGTGTCTTCCTGAGCAAGGTTACAGTGACAGTCTGCGGCTGGGATTCTCTGAAGCAAAGAGGCAGCACTGGGTTCTCAGGGGCCCCAACACCCTCTCTGAGCCTCCATGTGCCCCTCTATATAATGAGTGTGACAGTCCCTGGCTCTCGGCAGAAAGCCTCATCCTAAAGAGCTCAAGAAATGGTCAACCTTTTTTATTACGAATCAGGGATTTTCTCCACCCTTTGTTACCAGAAAAAAAAAAAAATTCATAAAGAAACTGCCTGATGGGACCACAACTATTTCTGGTTAACCCCAGTTTCAAATGTTTAGGGTTCCTCCACCCATCCTCACCTTTCAGAAGCTGAATCATTGAAGTGACTTGAATATTTGCATTTAGGAAAGTAAAGTCACACTTGAAATTCAAAGTGCTTTCACTGAAAAAATGTCCACCCCCTAGGGTAAGCTTATTCTGAATTAATATGAAATATTTGGCAGAAAAAATTTAAAGAATATTTATGAAGTTATTAGAAATCAGTATTATAAAATTCGGTTTTCCCTTAAAAGTCACCCTGAAAATCAGTGTTTGATGGCATGGCAAATACCAGAGAAACTGGAAACTAAAAATTTATGTGATTAAAAACCCATGTTCGGGGCTGGGATTGTGGCTCAGTGGTAGAGCGCTCGCCTAGCACAGGCAGGACCCGGGTTCAATCCTCAGCACTACATTAAAATAATAATAATAATAATAATAAAGGCATTGTGTTGAAAAAAAAAAACCCATGTGCATGTTGGGACTAAAATTAAACACACACACATACACACACACAAAATCTCCATAAGGTTAACATTGATTATAAAGGAAAAGGGGTCTTTTAAGGAATTCTTATTTCATTTCTTGGGTATTTGGGTATTTTCCAAATAGTTTATGATAACTGCTTTTGTCTTCCAACAGAAGTCAAGAATTAAATATCAATAAAAATGCCACTGCTAGACAGGACATGAACACGGGGGAAGAGTTATTCTGCTAAACACATCCGTCTTTCCCTGAGCAGTTAAGACAGGCCAGATCTTGCCAGATGGGAGGATCTTGGGGTGGAGCTGGCCTCCAGGTGGTCAGGTAGGCAGGCCTCCATCTCTGCCCCAGGTCTGCCCCTATCTCCCATCTGGCCAAATACCTGCAGAGCGTGGCTCCACCAGCCTAGCAGCTGGCAGGACAAGTTTGTCTGCCCTGACCCCCTCCCTGGGAGGCCAGTGCCTGTGGGTGAGAGGGGAGCAGAAAGGTAAGAGCCAGGATCACATGAGGGAGAGTCAGCCCCTCCGT